ATTGCAAACTACACTGCAATAGCTATTGAGGACTAATCCCCACCCCACACACACAAAGATGCTTTTTCATTCCATCTCAAGCATATTTTGTGGAGCTCAGTTTAAGCCACTTCCAAGATACATGAGGTTATTTAGCTGTAATGGGTGATATCTTGGCAAAGCTAAAGTGATCTTGCACCCCAATGCTTACCCCATCCCAACCCATCCCATCCCATCCCAACCCACAAACACACTCTTCAGTTTGTAATTTCCAACCTGAGCTCTGCAAGCGGAAAGCCCAGTTCTCAACTGGCAGCTCCCTTGCTCGCAATGCTCAGAATTAGATCTGGGTCATAGAAGGACTTTGGATTCTTGTCTAAAAGATGAAACTATGAAATGAACTAAAACTTACTCGCAAATCCCTTTTTTTGCTGCTATGTGAAGAGGTAACAGGCCATCCTTATTGGCTTTGTTAGCATCTGCTCCTTGGGACAAAAGAAACTCCACAATATGTACGTGCCCATTTTTACAGGCTTCATAAAGAGCAGAGGCGTTATCACTGGCTTGAGTATTTATATCAGCACCTAGGAAGGAAAAAAAATCTTTTTAGCACCAAAAGGTTAAAATCAGATGGAAGCAACATACTTTGAATGAACATACATGTCTCCATGACACTAGAGCTACAAAATGTGCTGGAAGGAGATGTGAATGAGGTCATATCAGAGCAAAATGAAAAGGTGATACAGTCATATCAGTTATATACAGTTATATCATAGATCTCCACTGGTTTTTACTATGATCTGAATTTTGTGAAGGACAGTTTAACATGGGTGGTAACCTTTAGCTGCCAGTCCTGAATCCAGGCTCCATTCAGCTGTATCTCAAAGGCAAAACCTTTAAAATGTGTTCTTCTTTATATAGCATGGCCTTTTCTTTGGACACAATAATTCCATTAGTATTTATATGTTTACACTATGTATATACACAGTTCTTGAGCAGGAGTTTGGACCAGGTGATCTCAATAGGTGCTCTCCAAAATTGTATGATTATGTATTTATGATACAAATTTATTTATATATACACATACTATTTATACTTTATATATTCATAGTTTAAATACATTTACACTGTATTTTAATTTTAATACATATCCAGGCTAAAATAGGACTCTCTAACATGACATCTGCATAGTACCGAGCGACAATTCTAATCAGCTTTTATTTGGGCATGCTTTAGTCAATGAATATCTCATTTCAAAACTCAACACCTGAGGCCATATCTCGTCATTTCACAAGGGTTCAAGTTAGGATACAAATGGTGAGTTTTACCAAAAAAAGACAAATATTATTAATGAGCTACTAGATTATTTAGGGCATATTTTTCTTGAGCTCTAGTGTGTGCTTGGCTTAGTAAACAACATGCAAGAATAAACAAAGACCTAATACTTTTGGCCACAAACAATTTGGAATCTAGCTTTTTCTTTACCAGATATTTAAGGTCTGAAAGCCTCGGTTTCAACTGTAATATACTGTAGCATGATGTCCTCAGGAAGGCTGCTCTATATGTATCCTAAATGGGAATGACAGTTCACTGGAGTTTTGCTTCTAAACCCCAACAAAGAAGCCAATCAGTCTCCCGTTTGATCATGAAAACTCCCTGCCAAAGGGAACATTTCCCTGTGCTCTCATCCCAAACTGAAACATCTGTGTTGTGTTTGGCCCTTTGAAGATGTTGTAGCTGGAAACATCAGGAGAATTGCAGTGACAAAACATAACACAGAACTACATTCGTAATGAAAAAGAAATGAAAAAGAAACCCCTTTTATGATGAACATTGCTCATCGTAAACAATGCAGTGATATCATTCCTGGGATTCTCAGAGGAGCTTTTCAGGGCTTGAAACAATGGGACAATTTTATTGGATTTTCTCCTGTGTATTTTTCTCAAAATTGAACTTTAAGGAAATCCTAATATGTATCTAAGTTGAAAGACAAATTGCATTCTGGCTTAGTTTCTAAAATCATAGGCAGTATGATGGACTAACTGGTCATATAAAACTGACTTGACAATGCCAGCTGGACAGCAGAACACATTTTTTGTCCCCCAACTCTCATATCTTTCTTAGCCATACTAACAGCTTCAGAAGTTTTTCTTATCTTCATTTCTGTTTAGCTCTTGTGTCACAAGTGCAGGACCCAGTTCTTACCTACATTGAAGATATTAGCCCACAGTGAAAATAAAATATGCCTTCGAGTAGTAGTAAAGTATGTTATGCTTATTGTAAAGCTGTTTTACATGAGTGGAGCAGTAAAAGGTAGGTTTAGTGTAAACTAGAATCAAATTCACTCTGTTTATATGTTTGAACACATACACATGGGGGAGAGCGAGTCTGCTTCTCCTTGGTGTAAATCCGTTAACTATACAATAGTACTTCATCTGTTTTCAGCAGAATTCATTATTGGAGGAGAGGTAACCTTGCCCATCACTGCACATGTTCATGAGCAGATGGGGTTGGCTAATGTTCAACTTCTGCCATCTATTACCACCTACAGTTGTCTTTTATGACTGATTGGATTTGAGGCTACATGTGTGCAGCAATATGGGTTTTGAAAGCTGTCAGGCAATGCAATTAGAGAGCACCATGTTACTTCCCAAAGTAGGTGACCATGAATGAATGCTGAAGAAGCGCATGTGTCTAGACCATGCTCTCTGAAAGACCCTACACAATTCAGCCATCTGGAGCAACAGGGTTTCAGCACCTCTGCAGGCTAGTCCTTGTCTTCAGAGATGGAAAAACTGAGCCAGGGAGAATTAATGGAAACTTTGAAATATTAAGAATGAAATGAGTAAAGGCATGTAACGGCACAACTGTACTCACCACATTTTGCCAGGTATCTCAAAGCTTCCAACTGCCCACTCTCAGCTGCCACAAATAAAGAAGTGATCCCATAGGTGTTTGAAGACTCAATGTTGGCACCCCCTTTCACAAGGATATCAATAATCTCCAGATCATTTCGGGAGACAGCCTCATGGAGAGCAGTCCATCCTCGATTGCAACGATGGTTGGTATCAGCATTGTACTGTACCAGGAGTCTTGCGGCCTCTGCATTCTTGCGCTCACAGGCTGTTTTGGAAAAAAGGCAAGTGATTAGGACAGGCTTTTGAAAAGATTCTGGGTATTGTGGCATCCGTTTCACGTAGCATAAGGCAATATAATACAACTAGTGAGAAAGAGCAAAGATCAATCTAGGTCAATATGAGAGCCAGAACTGTTGCCAAATGACACTGTCTGGGGCTCGTAAAGGATGTGGCGGTGAGGCCAATCTTCAGCCGGGACCTAGGGGAGGCTAAGTGTCCTGTGCAGGACTTGTGCCAAGCCTGGTACTGAGGGGAATCCAGCCCAGCACGTTTGTACCAACTGGACACCACAGTGACACAGGGAAGTGACAAGGTGCAGGACATAATTTATGAAGAACAAACATGTTACAGAAATCACATGATCTGAACACTTTCTTTCCAAATTCTGTGAAAACTGACTCTGTATCTTACTGCCATGGATTGAAGATAAAGCTCTATATAGACAAGAAAATAAAAAAGAGCTCAAACCAACAGTGGTCAGAAAAGAATCCTTAGAAAACAATAATGGTGTGAGTCAGTAGCACTCTCTCGGCCTGCAACAATATATAGTTCAGGACCATCCTGGACTAAAGGTATTTTCTTGATAATTAATAGCATTTTGTTGATTTTTATACTAGTGATTTGTTCCATTGCTTTTTAAATCCCAAATCATGAGGCTTCCTACACACTTTTACTGTGGGACCCCAAACCAAAGGTACCTGGAATAAGCAGCCACTTTTACAACACCCAATTAGCATTTGTTGTACGATGTGCAGAAAGAGAGGCCAGCACATTCCACAGCAATTGTATTTTTCTTTGAAATAATAGTGTCTTTTTCTCACAGAGATCCTGACTTTTTGTTTTGAGTCTTCCCTTGGGACATTGCCATGGCTTCCTCTCCCATACATAGGTGTCACTCACGTGTACTGAAAGCAACTATCTGATTCGGCACTGCTGTAATTACCTATGCATACCTCTGCGGAGTTTACTTTGCTTCCATACTAGGGATGAGTAATTTGTTATGATAATTTTTTCACTCCTTTTTTTGCTGGAGGATAGACCAGAGGATTTTTACATCAGCACTACCACTTACGTTAGCCAGGTTTTCTCTGGCTAAAGGGTGCTTTCATTTTATTGTTATTATTATTCCTATGAGTACTACTCTATCACTGCTGTGTTTAATGCACAGTTGAACAGCTTTCCTTTAGCTGACTATAAGCCAGAATTTTAAAACTAAGGCATTTTAAACTGAGCAGCTCTAATGTCAGGCATCCAAAGTTGGAGGCAAGATTACTGTTGAAACCAGTAATATCTGCTTTTTAATGTTTTAGAGCACTAAAAATAGTCATGGCAGGAGCAGTCAATAAAAGGGGAAGGGACACGAAGGTGTGACAGATCATCTCCTTCTCTGAATCTTTGTGATATCATGAATGTAATGCTGTTCTACTAAAGAAAGTGTACTCTCTGACCAACAGCAAATTCGTATGTCCTTGTTAAACACTTCATCGACCTCACTGAATTGTTTATAACTTTATGCATCTCCCATAGCACAGAGCCTGGCCTGGCCCACACAATATATGAATCTGGCATGTCTACAGTTACTGTACGTACTCCCACCTCTAACAGCTACTTAAGTCCTACTGTTTAGAAAAGCAAAGCATACGTATTCCTGTACTATCCAGCTTTCTGCTTCCCGTAAGTTTGGGACATTGTGCAGACACCCTGTGCTTAGGGCCCCACTAAGCATCACTCATCCCACCCTCAGCACCACGCTGCAGCCTGCACCCCGCAGGGCAGCCACTAATCCTGTCTCTGATGTGGACAAGAAGAGAAGCCGTGGCATGGCAGGTCAGACACAGGAGATACGGGACTACTGGAGGAAGGTGCAAAATGGGAGCTAATTGCTGAGTTTCAGCCCCACATCGCAAGAGCACCTGCAGCAATGCCTTGGTGGTGCCAGAAGTGCTCAGCATCCCTGGAAACACAGCCACTCACCTTTGTAGAGCGGTGTTTCTCTGGCCTTGTTGGAGATGTCGGGCTCGGCCCCAGCCTGCAGCAGGGTGAGCAGGCAGTCCAGGTTGCCCCGGCTGGTGGCCAGGTAGAGAGCCGTCTCCTCGTTGAGTGTGCGCTGGTCGATTGTGCCGGGGTATGCTGTGAATAAATGGTGAGCCCAAAGTCATTATGGCATGTAGTAAGCACACAAGTATCTGCAGCACCATCACCTTGCAAAATCCTTGGAGTTTTAGGTGACTTTTTGTTGTTTTTTTCTTTTCTTTTCCTCTTCCATGAGCAAAGTAAGTTAAGAATATACTTTAAAGTTACTATAACTCAGATTATGTAAATCAGTCACCAGCTTAGATTAAAATGTTCAGCTATTTTCAGTAGTGATGCAGAAAGCTGCTGAGTAACTGCTTTTCAGCAGCAGTTTGAAAACAAACTATAGTAGTTAACCCCCTTCAAGAATCAGCACAGAGGTGCTGGGCTGGACCTCCAGCTAGTGGGATCTGGGGTAATTGCTGTCAGCTGCAGCAGCCGAGCAGTTCACAACAGCCGAGAGCTCAGCTACAAGGCTTTACTGTGAGAAATCCAGGGCTTGGGAAGATCTCTCCAGATCTAATTTTCTCCTGAAGATCCTAACATTTGGAGGCTTCTGTCTGGAAACCTATTCTCAAAGAGAAGGTGAAATTAATATACACTCAGAGGGGTTGGAAAAAAACATTCACACACAGTCCCAAGCAAGGATTGGGCTGCTGCTATTTCTGCTTTTTAGTTTATTCATATTCTTCTTCTCCCTTTTGTAATGACTTAGTTTTAACTTCACTGACCTTTTTGCAACAGCCTCAGGCAACCCACTTGGCCATAGTACGCAGCTTCATGCAGGGGTATCCATCCATCCTTATTAGGTTCAGAAAGGTCTTTTCCTGATTTCATCATGTTACATACTGCTTTTTCATCTCCATCCTTGATTGCTGCCACTACAGGGTCAAGCTCTCTTTAAAACAAGATTAAAACTTGATTACTGCTTCCTTCATTACCGAGAAGCTTTTTGCAGCAACATTGCTGTATCATTTGGCAAAAATAGTGAACCCCTACAGCCTATATAACAGGTATTTGTGGCCCTAAGGTGTCTTGCTACAGGGCCTGTGGAGGTAAAATTTGTCTGCTCTAATTTGGTCATTCACAACAGAAGAATCACTGGCTGGAGGTGCTGATCTCTTTCCTCGAACCGTAAGGAAAGTGTAGGTGTGACTAATCTCTGACAAAAACATTTATATTTTAGATATCTGGAGTTGGGGGAGCCTAGCTCTACCTATGCCCTGTACACCGCCATGAGCATCCACGGTTGTGATAATTACACCACCCTCCCATGTGGCAAGATGTTTCCATATGAGACCTCTTAAACAAGATCGGCTTTGAAGAGAATTGTCCCTGTTGATCCCTGAAGAAAATTTTAACTTTGATTTGCAGGTGGCTTAGCCCTAAAGCAGGAATTCTCCATAAATCTTGTTCTTGTATTTTAAAGATACTTCCTATTTCTCTTATGCAAGCCTGTTTTCAGAAGTTAGCTGGACCAGTTATGAAGAAGGGAGAGCTCTGGTTAGATCATGTGAACATTACAGTGGTGGTCTGGGCTCTCCTTTCTTCAGCCAGGGAGGATTAAAAAAAAAAATATCCACCCACTCAAATGAAATTCTGAGCTGCCCTTCATGACCATGACCCAGAGATCCCCAGCTGTTATTTCAGCACTGAGCACGCAAATGTTCAGAAATTATAACTGCTTTGGACATTATAGACCTTCAAAAACGTGTCTTTGGTGTGCCAGTAAGACATGTTAGGTGCTGGGCACTTCTGAAAATCTGGTCTTTAGAAGCCTGCTTGGGAGGAGACCCATTAGCTTTGTTGACAAGCCCACTGTTGCAAACCTCTTAGCCAAGTCAGCAGTTCCCCAAGTAACTGCAACAGTCAGGGACCTCTGGAACCCCAACTTGGACCTGGTGCCAAGCTGTGACGTGGTTCATGTTATGGTCCATTTGAACCCAGCAAACCACTGTCAGGCTCCACAGCACCAAGTAACTTCTAGGCACGGGGAGTAACAGGAATTAAAAAATATTTGGAAGGGAGGGAATATTTTAAAGCCTCTTGGGAGTAGAAAGTCACTGAAATATGTAGAATCACTGAAAAGTGTTAAAGCAGTATTTCAGTGTTTAGCAGCAAAAAGAAAAATAACATGAAAGTTGTCTTTTTTGATGCTACCTAATTCTGAACCTTTCAAGAAGAGGCTCACTGTGAAAATCTACAAAAAGCATGAAGTGTGCTCCATGCCACCCAGAACTGAGACACAATGAGCAGCCTACGAGTGAGCTTTGCTCTGACAAGCCTTCCCTTTGCCAAGCATACATTCTGCACAGTCCGGGCAGCAACCCATTTCTCCGAGCTCTGTCAGAGCAATTGCAGAGCAGGGCTGACCTGGGCACACCAGTCCTTCTGCAGAGCAATAGTGAGAGCCGCTGCAAGACTCCCTGCTCTGCTGGAGTCACGACGCTGCCTGACAGTCACCGTGCCACTGATCAGCAGCGCCGGTAGCAGGGCCTACCTCCCTTCTTCCACCCCAGCTGAGGCTGCCGACAGGACAGCAGAGGCAGGGAGCTGGTACCCTGCAGCCAATGCGGGCAGGATCCTTGCCCGTGGCAGGCAGTGGCTCTGTGCAGGGTGGTGTGCTGTGCCTTCCAGCCCCAGCGCCTGGTCCTGCTCCTGCTGAGCTGTGCTGGGAGAAGGCAGCCATCAAATGGCTAAGCTCCAGGACATCAAACACCGCAAAGGAAAAAGCATTTTTCCCGTTCTAATGGGGACTTGCAATAAATGAACGTGGGCTATATTTTCAGAGACAGAGAACAAAAGGATGTTGAACACATAGGAGAGTTTGTGATTTGAACTAAGTCTAAAGAGAAAATCTTGCAGCCTTGAAGGCGGAGAGACTGGGGAGGGAGGTGTGTGTCTCAGAGAGACTATTAGCATCGCCAGGGTAGGAATACAGCATGTGATAAAGGTCATGCAGGGCAGTGATGATGGGAACAACCAGAAACTCTGGTTATGACAGAAGGTCTAAAATGCCACAACAGAGTGAGATCAGAGACAGAAAACTATGGGCAGCTCAGCACAGGAGCCTCACAAAGCAGATCATCGGTAAAACCTCCGCATTTAGTGCAGGTTACAGGAGCAGCACTGGATTTTGTTGCCTTGCAGGGACTGAACAGACCAACAGCCTGAAACACAGGCATCATTAATTTCAGCTTGCCTAGAGGTACCCAGTCTGTGCCATGAACACTGATATTAGCACTGAAAGAAAAGTGACCAAGCTGCTTCTCTGAGGATAAACTCAGGGCCTGGAGTGGAAGCAGGTGAACACAACACCAGTACCAAGGAATGGGAAAACACACCATTTCCCAGGTGAAAAAGTACTTAGTGCTACTTGCTCTTTCTCTAGAGCTGGAAGCAGTGATCTCAAGACAGCAGAGCCACAAAAATAGCAACGCTGGAATGGGGGGAGATATGGGACACAAAGCCAGGCGTTTTGCCTGAGGAGATAACAGCTAGAGCAGGCAACTGCCCTCCTGGCCACAGCCCACCCAGGAGGAATTGACTGACCTTCTGTTAACCGCCGGGCTGAGGTCCCAGGGACACTGCTGTATCTCCCTGCTATTTAGAGTACTCTGGGGACTAAAACTAAAATTGCTAGTTTTGTATAGATAATAGATTTTTATATAGGTGTTTGAAATTGAGCATTTTGTTGAAGTTAGTTAACAGCAACAATTGGCACGTTTGGCTGGGAGAAGAAGAGGAGATGGGGGATCTTTGTCTTTAAAAGCCTCTGGCACCAGGCTGCTGAAGCCATCTGTTGTTCTGTGCAAAGGTTCATGTTACACGTGCGGGGCTGCTCACTGCGACTTCGACTTCAGGATTTGGGCACACGATAGAGTTACCAGCGCTTTATGAGTTACTGCATGCCGGGGGGGCCACGGCAGGAGTCTGTGCATGGGGCTGGCACACAGCAAATGCAAGGTGAATCACGTTAGCTGAGACCTCAGTGAAAGCAGATCTGTGGAAGGGTTAAAAATCCGTGAAGAATCAGTTACTATTCTGCTTAAGCCCTCAGATGTTGAATGAAGCAAACTTCTGTTGGGCTCCTTGACCTTAAATGATTCCTAAGATGAGGGGGTTTGCTGGACCAGGCTGTAGATGTTTTAGCCAAGTGAATTCCAGATCAGTACAGAAAGTTTAACGAATCTCCATGTGAAATCCTTGTTTTCTGCCTGGCTCATAGTTGGCTGTTATAAAAAAAAAACCAACACATTCTGCTGCTTGGATTTCATCAGATATAGAAAAAACAAGTATTAGAACTATGGAGGAAGCCTGAAGATCTGAAGAAATCTTAACCTTATAGGCGAGTCAAAAGAATTACTGCATTTCAAAGGCCACTAGCCAAGATAATAAATACTCATTGCAGAAGAGATGTATGGTGGGGTCAGTTCTGAGTGCTGCAGAAGAGGTGCAGTGGAGCACAGAAGGGTTCAAGAAGCTCCTTCTTTTCCTGGCAGCCTGGTGAGATGCAGGCAGCATGAAGGAACAACATCTCCCCAGGTGAAGCCAGCTATCATCCCTGCCTGGCTCGGAGACCAGGGCTATAAAATAGTCGTGCCATCATGCTTTTCTGTGGCTTCCCAGCCACATTTCTGCTCTCACCTGGCAGCAGAGGAGGGCTAGCTTATCAGTCTTATCGCAGCCTTCTTGTGGACTGAACTCTATTGAACTTCGTGATGCAGAAGAAAAGCCTGCCCTCCAGTCATCGCACCCAGAGCAGGAGAGAGGCATGCAAGGTGTGCAGAGAGAGGATGCGATTTCAGTGTGGCCAAGGGGAGCTGGCAGGTGACAGGTATGAGGGAGGCTTCATGTTTCAGCGGAAAGAGATTTTCACATATGTCAGGGAGGGCAATGTCAGTGGAGAGTGTGGGATAGAGCCCAGATCAGCCAGGGTGCAGCGTGAGGTAGGGACAAATGTAGAGCTGGGAGAGGGATGAAAAGAAGAAGAGTGGTGGAGGGGTAGTCACTGCAACCATGCATCCAGGGAGGGACTTATAAGGTGGATAAAACAAAGTGAATTTGAACTGGGTAGGTAAAAAAATGAGGGAAGAGTTTTCTGCAGGACACACAAGTGCTGCCTACAACACTTTCCTGTCTTCATCTGATAGCTAAAGGCAGGTGCCTGCATCTACTCTGCCCCTCAGGGAGCTGTAATAAACCCATCATGGTCCAAACACTTCCACTACACACAGGCACTGGGGCAGAGCTTGCCTGTCTGCTTTCCTCATCCATGACTCTGTTCACCTAAGCTTATTTACAGTCTCTGCCAACAACAAAATGTGGCCAGGAGGATCAAAGTCAGTCAAGCTGGTTTCCTCCTTGGGCAGGTAAGATGTGGTACAGCTCCCCAGCAGCCCTCCTCAGTGTGGCAGGGCAGTGCAGTTATTGCTGCGAACAGGCACAGCATCTTGGGAGCATTTATAAAATATTTACTTTGAAGGACTGGAGTTTCTCACCTTGTTTATATACTACGATAAAATGTTTGTTTTCCCCACTCTTCCCCACTGTTGAACCCTGAACTTAATATCAATGCAGTACTACCAGCACCTGCCTGCCTCATCTACTGTGTTGATGTGGGAGCCTGCCTATATAAATAAACCACAGCGCAGGCATCCCTTCCCTGCTGTCCTTGTCACCTCAGAGCTACCAAATGACCCGGAGTCCCCAGGACATGTGCACTGGAGGGATGGAAAGGGACGAAGGGGGAGAAGAGAACAAGGAAGGTTTGAGGTGGGTCACCTGCAAGACCCAGGGCATGGCCCGGGGCAGCTGGGAGGTCAGAAGGG